GTCTGTCTGTCTGTCTGTCTGTCTGTCTGTCTATCTATCATCTATCTATATATATATATGACTATCTATCTATTTATCTATCTGACTATCTATCTATATATATCTATCTATTTATCTATCTGTCTATCTCATGTGACACTGGAGACTGGATTAATGATGCTGAAAATTCAGAAATAAATTACAGTTTACAAAGAAAATAGTTTCAAATTGTAATATTTCACAGTTTTGTTTTTACTGTATTTTTGATCAAATAAATGCAGCCAAGCATAATAGGCATAAGATTAAATCCTTCTCCACCCCAAAATGTAAATTTCATTAATATCTGTTGGCAAAACAATGGATTGGTTTTATATATATATATATATAACCAATAGATAGATAGATCTAGATGTAGCGACATATGCTTCTCAAATCAGTGTCAATAAAGCAATAAATGTTTTCATCCTGACAACATGCCCCACTTTTTAAATAAATCTAACCCAAGAAATATTTACTCAAGTAGCTGTGACAACTAGCCACATTCTGACATCATATGTGTTCGATGTATTAAAACAAGCTCAGCTCCAGCTCTATATCAGCTGGACAGTCTGCCAGAGTGGACCGTACGCCCCAGCCTGTCCTGTGGAGCCAGACCCGAGTTAAAGTACTCATCTACTTGGATCAATCAAAATATTCTGATGCAGCTTGAATTTAGCTGAGTATGTCTTCATGTCCCATTCATACAGTTCACAAAATAGCTTTCATACGCAAACGTCCATTTGATGTGTGTATTCCAAAAATGCCACAACTTGGTGCACTAATTATAATAAAAAAAGATCAACATTATTAGGAAAAGAAACAAACTTTGCCTTATGTTAACTGTTAGTAAATGACAGCTGTGTTGAGTTTTTCTGCTCAGTCTTTTGGAAGTGTTGCAAAGTCATTTCACTTCTGAAAAACATCAGAAGTGTGTACAGGACATGCATTTTAAACCATGTCATGAGGATCAAAGAGCTGAATTGAGACAGAACATTTCCAGGTTAAAAGAGATAACTATCATTAGATTAGTTCAAAAGATCAAATAAAAAAATATATACTGCCAGTTTGTGGCTTTAGAGCCTTTGCACAGAATAAAATGAAGAACTAAAACGAATCAGAAAGCAAGGATCACATTTGTAACTGTTATCTGCACATAACCGCTAGATGGAGCTGTGGGGTTAAATATTGTAGAAATTCAGCCAGCTTCTGTTAAAGGGATAGTTCACCCAAAAATTAAAATTCTGTCATCATTTACTCACCCTCATGTCGTTCCAAACCTGTATGAATTGCTTTCTTATGTTGAACACAAAAGAAGATATTTTGAAGATTGCTGGTAATCAAACAGTTGGTGGTTGCCATTGACTTCCATAGTATTTTTTTTCCTACTATGGAAGTCAATGGCAACCACTAACTGTTTGTTTACCAGCAATCTTCTTTTGTGTTCAACATAAGAAAGCAACTCATACAGGTTTGGAACGACATGAGGGTGAGTAAATGACAGAATTTTTGGGTGAACTATCCCTTTAACGTTTTGCTCAGATTTAAGGATATTAAAGGTAGGGTATGTAATTTTTCAAAAACACTTTAGAAAACTGATTCGGGCCGAATAGCAAAACAAACTTGTAGACAGAACTAATCGTTGCCTGGGTTGCGTACGTATGTGTGGGGCGGAGCTATCAACATAGGGGCAAGCCCCTTTTGGGGTAGGGGCGTGTTTGTTTTGGTGATTTCAAATATCAACATTGGCTACCAGAAATCGCTTACCCCACCTTTAATACCGCCATGTGTCTGCATGTTCATTACTATTCATAAGCGCGTAACAGGCACGCAATGAGGTTTTGGTTCATGCTTATACCGTAATTGTATTTATTAATCTTTATTTAGGTTATTTTATGTAAAATATATTGAGATAAACCTATAATAAAATGCATTGCTTTTTAAGCACTCATTACTGATAAAAGCAGGAAGCAGTATTTCTGTATGCATGGAAAGTGCACCTAATCCCGCAATGCAATGCACTCGACTTGACCTTCGTTTTCCAACATAATGAAGGAAGCGTAAGTAATTACAGCTGCGATTTTAACATTTCTTTGAGCCTGCAGTGGCCTGCATTTGTGGAGTATGCAATTATTCCATTTCAAACAGCCTAGGTGTTTCTCTTTGGGTTGAACACCATCAATCCGGAGAATAACTAATTTACGACTTGCAATTTGCAGGTCATGGGATTTTCCATACTGCAGTAGAGAAACCGATACCTGTAGAGTCAGGCCTACACCATACACCACAACAGACACTAATGCATACTGATGCCAAATCAAAAGCTGTGTTTCATACAAGTTCATTAACAGCGAGTCTAGCTCTATCAGTTGTGCAATTATGGATAATGCCGATTACTACAGAAATTAACTAATTTCTGCAGATTACAGTGATATAGCGACAGTGCAAGTAAACGGGGACATGCACAAAGTTTACCAGAAGAAATGTAAGACTCAAATTTGTATTTAAGCACTTACATTAATTATAAAAAACGTATTTGGTTGTCCAAAACTAGATGTGCAAATCACTTCTGTGGTGATACTACTGTTCTAGATGAACAAACATTAGTTGTCACCAATGTAATGCATATAAGGATTTGGTCCTGTCAGGAATCTTAATGCATATAAAAATTATGATCATGACTTGAATTATTGGACAGCAACTATGCACAGATGGTTTGTGAGAGATTGCATCACAATAACTGAACATGTATTACTTAAGTCTTGTGGCATTTGCACATTTATGGTTTACTTTCATTATAAGTGCTTTACTTGCAAGAACAATTTTGCCACTTTTGTTTTTTAACAGAGATTAATCAAAATATTTTCTATGGTAATCAACAATGCAACAAATGCAGTCCATAGAACTTGACGTTTATTAAATTCATGGACCTCCAACTGCATGATTATAAATGTTGTTATAAATGAATCAATCACAAGCGTTTTACCAAGATTTAATGTACATTTATTCTTAACACGTGGAACATATAGTATAAAGATTTCATACGGAATAAATGATATTCATTAAGCCAAAAAAGGGGAAAAAAGGAATTTACAACAAGTTTTTAGCTACATCATCTGAAATACAAATATGAATCCATAGCACTGGAATCGACTAAGGAAACTGCTGGGAAAGAGGGGAAACCAAACTCGTGTATCTGTTCCGGTGAATGATGACGAAATCAGTTGGAGTAATGGACTGGTCTGGTTTGATATATGCCTCTAGAGCTTTAACGAAAGGAACTGAAATGTTATGTGCAAGGGCAGAAGATTGCATTCCTACAGCCAGAGATGTAAGGAGAGGAAGGTGGTAAATAAACACATGGCAATGCGCAATGAGAGATCTGTAGAGTGAAACCTTTAATTCGTCAAAGATTAAAAACGGTGAAGAGCGCCATAAGATGAGAGAGAGAAAAAGAGCAAAGTGTAATTTACAACATCATTATATACACTGCAGTCTGGACTGCATCTAGAGCTCAAGACCAGTCCTAAGAGGTGATTTCTTGAAGGGTCAAGTCATACAATCGAGGGACAAAGAAGAGGTCGGGGTGTTGTAGGTTCACGTTACTTTGGGGGGAAAGCCATTTTTTCCTCTCTCAACATGAACTAAAACCATCATTTTTAAAAACTACAGTTTTTTTGCTGCCAAGCCAGCATTATCTCAGTGTGAAACAGTATTGTTACAGTATGTTTACAGTTTTAAGGTGTACAGTACAGAAAAAAGTCCTACAATCTACTGCACAGGCCTCCCATTTACATGTCTGTTCACAGCCAACGACCTGGTTCCTTTAGGGCTAAGCATATATAATCCAAGTTACAGCAATTTATACCACACACCAGAGTCTGAGAGTCCATTTAGCCTCCAAGAACCAGATAATGGTCGTCTCCGTGCCTGTCCTCACCCGGAAGGTGAATACGGGCACGGTTTTTCCCCAAACTCACTGTAAACGTGACAGCAACTTTGGTTACAGTTTCGTTGTTTTTTTTGTGTCTTTTTTGTAATTTTATTTTTCCTTACAAAAACAAGTCCAAAGGGCAGCGCACTCTTGCAGGCGAGGATCTCGATCGGCACATCCATGTTAGTTTAATTCTTATCCATACATGTTAAATCCATCACGACTTTTATCCGTCCTTGAGAGCAAAGCAAGGGTAGACAAGGATAGACATTGGAATCTGAGGTGATTTTGCATAAATTAAAAAAAATGAACATACAGTCAGTCAGTTTCGCTCTTAAATTTTCTCCACTCACGCAGACACACACACATTAAAAAAAACGAGTGGGGAAAAACATGATCGCCCCCACGGCTGTCATGACTGGCCGATCAGAAAAAGTACGTCACAGATTACATGGGACACCAAAGAGTTCATGAGTGGGGACACCGATATGTCCAGTAGCCGTGACTCGTACAGCGTGAACTCCGAGTGGTTCTCTTCCACTTTGGCAAGGGCGTGCAGGGCACGTGCCGCCCGCCGCATCATGTCCACACTAGTGGGCTCGAAGTGTGCACCTTGTAAGTGCATCAATGAGCCCTGACTCTGTTGGAACTGGGTGGCTGCAAGACTGTCCTCCAAGAAGCCAAGAAGGTTTCCAACGCTGCCTTTCTGCACAGCAATAGCCCGGGCCGCGACGCTGTCGCCTTGCGCCAGGTTGGCTAGCAGCACCACCACCATCTCCCGGCAGACGGGCACTTTGCGGTCGCCAACCATGCGCACGAGGAAGCCGTAGAGCTTCTCCAAACGGCTGAAAGGCGGCGTAGCCAGAATGAGGTCAACATTGTTATTCTGGATGCTAAGCTTGCTGAGGGTTTCCAGGACGAGTCTCTGGGGAGACAGTGTCCCGTTGAGCCCCAGCGTGGGGAAGGGGTCGATCGCTTCCGCCGAAGGGCACACAGCCCAGTGGAGCAGGCCGTCCAGCAGCGGCAGGCAAATACTTTCAGGGTAGATGGACAGGTCCAGCTGACCTGAGATGTTTGCTAACGTGACCAAGCAGTTTTCCCGCAGAACCTCGAGACAGTCCCACCACCACTTATCTCGCTCGCACCTGAACCCTTCATCTTCCTCTTCCTCTTTCTCATAAGTAACCGGGGCCTGCTTGCGTTCAGGATGCCAGTGATGCAACAGCACCAGCCGGCCAAGTAACAGCAAAAGTCCGGGATGCTTCGACATCTCCAGATCATTCCCAGGAATGAAGGAAAGACTGCGAACAATGTTGGAAACGCAGATGCAGCGGCGGGCGAGGGAATCCTGCCAATCCAAGAGCGTACAGAGCGGGGTCTCGTCCTTGCTGTGCGGCTCGTCCTCCAAGATCTTGATATTGCGACTCTGTTGTGCAAGATCGATGCCAAAGAGAAACATATTCTTCTCTTTGTCGCTGCCCTGGTTGCCTCGGACCGCTTCCTCCGTCACGGAGCCTTGCCGAGCCGACAGCACATCATCAATGGTGGCCGTTATACTCGTCGACGTGCTTGCTGTTGTAGTGCTTTTACCTTCGGACGATGGTTGGACTGGGGATGGCTGAGGTTGTACTTGTTGCTGCTCTTCGTTTGTCTGAGCCTTCTCAGCATCCTCTGTAACAGTCTCCACTACATGAGACACCTTCTTACGTGGCTCAACATTCACTGGCACCCGTTTCCGATGCTTCAAGAGCTCCATCTTGCTCTCAAAATGGGTTTGTATGTGTTCTGTGGTGTCACCACCACCTACACTCCAATGGATAAGACCACTATCAAAGGCTTGTCGCCGACCCAATTTACTAGTGCACCCAATCACAAATGGGTCTTTTTTCCTCAATATCTTGATGGGAAGCTTGTCAAATTTACTAGCCTGCTTTGGCCTCTCCTGGGAGGCACTGGTGTCCTGCAATGGGGTGGATGATCTGAGATGATCTTTGCATGAAGTATCCTCACCTTCCCTCTCTTCTACATGTGTGAGCTCCTCTTTCTCTTGCTTGACCTGGACCTGTGACGTCTGCACAGTGTTGTTCTCTACATCTTCATCGTCATCCTCGTCCTCCTCTTCCATCTGCTCTGCCTCTGGCCCCTCCTCATCAGACATCTCGGGGTCAATGGCATCTGGGTCAATTAGCGTACGCTGCCCAGGGTCTCCAACCTCATACTCTTTCAAGATGCCAAAGATCTCAATGAGGCACCTTCGGAAATACTCAACAATGAGTTCAAGGAAGCCAGGAAGCTGCAAGTGGAAGATAAAGATAAATTAGTCACATTAGTTGACCAACCTGACCCATCCCTAGTCCTATGGTCTATAAAATTTACTCACCTGGTTCAGATTAAAGTTAGAAATGCTGTTGTCATCATAAAGAAGAATATTAATGGTATCCAAAGCCCAAGTGCTCTCTGCTAACAAGCCTGATTTGAGGGACATCATGACTCTCCAGGCCTCTGGTGTTCCTGAAACCGAACAAAAGCCAAATTTAAGACCGCCCCACAAATGGATCGGGACACAAGTATTCATCGGAACACTGCCATGAGCCTCTTACCAATATCCTTCATGGTAAGCCGACGACGCGGTTTCAGAATGGGCTGCGTGGCCTCTGTTGAACCTGGTGGGAATGCCACATCTCTCCGAATCAGAGGGGGCTGCACTGGCGCCTGGGCAATGTGCGATGCAGGAACTGGAGGTCCAGCCTTCTGGATTTTCATCCCCGTGTGCATGTATGGAGACTTACTGGGCGAGGTCCTGTTCTCCATTGGTCTTGGCATGGGTGCAGGGCTAGACACTTGTGGAATGTGGTTCTGGGAGGATTGATAGTTGGACTGAAGAGGTCTGGCCATCTGTGGCCCAGAGGCTCCAGGCCCGTATGGGGGCTGCCGCTGGTTAACATGGCCAGCCCAAGGTCCCTCGTGGTTCATGCGCTGGTCTGAAGGCATCATGTCTTCAGAACGATTCATGCCATGGTAGCCTTGACTTTGGGAAGGGACACCAGGGGGCCCCTGGCGATTATGATAGTTTGGGTAGTTCATCTCATTACGCCCAGGCCACATGGGACCTTGGGGTCCATCGGGGACTGAAGGCATGGAGCCACTCATGGAGCTACCCATCATCTGTGGTGGCATGGAGGGTTGGGAGTTTGGACCGCCCGTGTTAGGTCCTCGATCTCTCCCGAAACCAAAAGGAAACTGGCCCTGTGGGCCTGGTGGGCGTCTGTCGGAACCTGGATAGGCATTATACTGGTTATACATATCTGGTTGGGACTGAGGTCCACCTGGGGCCTGGGGTCCCTGCTGCTGACCACTGAAAGGGTACATGTCCCCTTCATGACGCTTTGCAGGAGGACCGTAAACACCATCAACTGGTCTCTTCTGTGTGTAATTCTGTATTTAAGAAGTTATTTTTTTTTTTAGATTTTAGTCAATGCCACACCTATTAACAATATAATAATTTTAAAAACATTGTGTTGCACTGACCGGTTGCTGTTGTGGGTACATTCCTGACTGTTGGTTTGGGTATGGTCCACTAGGGGGAGCACCTTGGCCAGGGTACTGATTACTGTAAGAATCAAGCCTGTAATCCAAAACATACATCCAGTTTCAGAAAGGCTCAAAAAGCATGGATGCTCAATAGCAAGTAGCAAACAATAAAAATGAACATTCATGAAATTGCAGTTTTACGTTTTATATTTAATTAAATGCTAACCTCTGCTGCTGAGGGGGCCGGTTGGGTGAGTACATCCCTGTATCTGAAGGCATCATGTTAGGCTGTGGACCCACACTGACATCTGGGCCCATACTCGATTCTGGTCTGTGAGGGAAAAAAACAAAAACAAATGGTGTTTGAGAAGCGACAACTGAAGACACTACTCCTTGGTTGGGTTGTGTGTTGAAATGTTAAAAACACTGCAAAGCTACAATAACATTCGATATTAACAGTCATCAGATTTCTGTATTAATGGATTGCTTGAATAAACTTAATATAAAGGCAAATACTTGAAATAAATGCTCTCACCGTCTGTCAAATCCTGGACCAAATGGGTACTGTTGTCTTTGACCCATCGGAATATTTCCCATAGGTCCTGGGGGGCCTCGGTTATATTGTTCACCCATGCCACTGTTTGGGCCTTGACCTGGGCTCATGAACTGCTCACCTGCTGAAAATGTAAGCAGAGAGTCACACTGAGCGTCCTCGTTTGTACTAAAATATCATATACAACCTATGATTCTTACCCAGTGAGTTATTTACTATATGCCAAATCATTAAAAAGCACAATCTATACTTAAAAGTATAACTAGTAAATAATATCTGTTTAAAATAATATTTCTTGTGCATTCTTGTAGCAAATCAGTCACCCGGATAAGAATCATGGGTTGTACAAATACTTTTAAGAGCAGACAACTTGAAAGCTCAAAATGTTAACGTCGCAAAGTACATACAAACTGAACAGTAATAGATTTGGCTCAATATTATAGTAGCATTACTAGATAAATTCATAAAAGAGATCCTTAAAATTCCACTGTAAGGATAAGACCAGAACAGTCACCTTTTCTCATACCACCAAAGGGGTCCTTATTGGGCTCAAAAGGCCCCATGCGGCCCATCATGTCTGGTCCACCCATACCAGGCTGATAACCTGAATTGGGGGTCACAGAGTTACGTCTGGGAAAAGCTGGATCCCCACCATCAGCAAAAGGGTCCTGCAAATTCACACTGCTCCTGTGACAGACAGATAATGTCAGATATATTCTGGCCCTAGAAAGTCATTCTGAATGTCCTGTCCCAAAACGGAGACACACAGCATTGAGATGTACCTAGGACCAGGCATGGGTGGCATCTGACTGTGCGGTGTTGAGGCAGGTGTAGGGGGCTTCAGGTCTCCCCCTTCGGCCATAGAACTGCTGGTCGACTGAGGTGTCTGAGGACCCTGTAACGATCCTGATCCAGCTGGGGGAAAAAAAGATTGGATCGGTCAGTCAGCAAATCCTAAAGGAGGTTTAGGCGACGTCATATTGTGTGTAGTAAACACTGTTTTAATAAGAACCACAAACTAGAAAACCAAAATCCCTGTCCACATGGCTGTAATTTAATCATCAAATACCTTCCGACTGCCTGCAATTGTCGCTTTCGCAGCACTTTCACTGTCAGTGTGGACAGACAGCATGCCAACACACAGCGACACACTTTCGAGGAAATGTGCTGAGCTCGGCTCATTTGGCAACCTTCCCCTGCATGAAATCATGCTGCTTTTCATGCCGCTTAATCTCATTTGAGGACTTTCCCCCACCGGTGACACACGGAGAGGTGCTCTGCCAGCTAAGTGCTCAGAGAGTATCATCCTTACGTTTGAGGCTCCATATCCCAGCATGTCATAGTCTCCATTACTAGCACTCAACCAGCAGCTAACAAAACACTTACCACACATGTAAGTGCTTAGTCATGTGTTGAAGAAGAAGAGATGTGGCAATCGGCTCAAGTCTGACGTCATGCGTCACTGTTTCTGGGTCCAAATGCTCTGTCAGATGCCAAGTAAGGGATAATGTACATCCAGCCGGTCCAGCCGCTTCGCATCGGGGTCCTAATCGCCCTGTCGGGGGTTATTCTGTGATAACAACCGGCTGGATGTACATTATCCCACTTATTACACGGCTACTTGCCACATAAGTAAATAATTAGACAAAATATTGATTTGAGTTGAAATATTTAAATGCAAATCTTCCGTGAACACAGCAGTTGTGAGCAAGCGGCAAGTTCAAACTAGATGGACATTTAAGGGATACGGTGCAGTCAAACCACTTATTACACATTTCACCACATAAATAATTACAGTGACAACTATCCTTTATGCCTTTAATCTCATTTTATTCACCAATGTCTTTGCTGCTGACCTTCAATGATCCAATTCAACCATACTAATAAGCAAAAATTACTTTAGATAAACATAACGTTTGTTTCAGAAATAAAACTTTATATAAAAAAAAACAAGCCCAGCCCAGATGAGAAAAAGTAACGCAAAAGTAACGCAACATTACTTTACATAAAAAGTAACTAAGTAACACAATTGGTTACTTTTTTTAGGGAGTAAAGTGATTTCTGAGAAACACTGTTGAAAATTGAAATCAACACCAAAACAAACTATTGTCAATACTTGCAAGCTGTCTGTTCTGTGTGTGCATGATAAAAAAGGTGTTTGTACATAGTTCTGCTGGTGTAAATAGGGAAAAACCGAAGTAGACTGGAGCAATCAGACCGAGCGCCAGAATACTCTTGTAGCCAATCAGCAATAGGGAGCATTTACATTCATGATGGGGAAGAGAGAGAGTGAGCAAGCGGGAGATTTGTAGAAAGAGAGATGGTCTAGACATTAGCAAAGAGGAAAATGTCCAAGGAATATACCCGGGGAAAAAATGGGTTAGGACTAGGACTCGCATTAATATTAGAAAATCTTTCCAGCGCTAGACGTTAAAGAGTGGGAAGGCCTGAAAATGGATACTGAGGATACTTGTTTCTGCTTAAGATGCAACATTGGCTTTACCGTTTCACAGAACCAAGACATGCTGTTGTTCTAATATTAGCTATAGTAACAGAACTGATTCATCCATACTTGTGCGAGGTGTCTGATGGGCGAGCTGTTAGTCAATGCATGTGTCGCATAGCGTGTTTGTGAATTCGGGGCAGAGCAATGAAGGTAGGGGTGTGTTTCTTTTAGGTAGGGCTGTGTTTGTTTGGGTGCCGAGTTCAAATATCAAGTGTTAAGCAAACCTTTAAGCAAACTGCACTGTGGTCAGTTTAAATCGCTTAAGTACTCAACAGATAAACAGGCCTAATACTCATAAAATTACAAACGAGGCCCCATTTTGCTATGTTTTGCTATGTTCCTCCTGAACGACTGTTACTTCCAAGTCCTTGAGTGCTTGTGCCCATCCCACCAACATGATTACTATGAGGCCACGTGTATGTGTGTAAATGTCAGAGAGCGAATGGAATGAAGGCGGAGAGAGAGAGAGAGACACAAATGTGTGTGGATGAACAGCATGTTTGCGCGCCACATGTTGCAGCTCATCTTGCGGCCAGCTAGAGGACGATTACTACTGGCACGCCTGTGGGATGACTCATGCTTTCATTCATTAACTCGTACAGACTGGGGTCACCGGCAGGTCAGACATATCCATATCTCGCACTTCAAACATGCTCCTTAACACACACACACAGGGCACAATACCTCAGCCTCCCTCCTCTGGGCAAGGATATCCCTCTAACGCCGATAAAGAGAGGGGGAGGGTGGGAAAGAAAAAAAGATGAGGAAGAAAAACCCAGCTTGACTTTACATACCACCCCCCTTCACTTTTTTTCCCCATTCATCTTTTTCTGGCTTGGTTCAGCCCTCCAGGGGTTTGCCTCTGAATCCTAAGGCCAGGAAAAAGCCATCTACAGCAGGGAAAAAAAGCAGTCAGCCTGGAGCACCTGACCCGGTGCCAAGCAGACATGCTCTACATCACAGGGGATCCCCTTTAACTCGCCCCATTTCTCTTGTAATCTCAGTCTCTCTCTCTACTGAACTCACTCTCTGGCTCACAGAGTCTTTTACATGGGACGCGTTTCTGGATTGAAAAACAGCTAGATGGAGCGAAACAGAAAGCAGTGGTCATAACCCAGTGGTCTCCTTAAGCGTATTTAACACCCAGGCTTTTTGCCAGTTTCATACAATAGGCCGGACACACTGCCATTGTTGCAGTGTAAATATGCTCGGGATGCCTGTCCGGTGCTCAGCTTCTTCTGATTGATGCATTCAACAATATATATATATTCATGTGCTGCATAACAGCTGAGATATTTTTAATAAGACACACCATCTTAAAAAAAATGGTGCGCGGCACTGGGAACTCTAAGGATACAACAAAGATGTCCATCAGTCGCACATGTGCAGAGAAGGGTTTACATTTTCATGATATACATTGTTCAAGATGATGAAAATCACCTTTTTCAACCATTTTAAACAACAATTGCTGTTGTAGACTCAAGACATCTTATGCCCTTTTTCACTATATGAACAAATGGAAGAATGATATTTAAGCATTTTTATTTATATGCACCGATATAACAAACATCTTAGGGGGAAAAAAAACTAATAAAAAAAAATGGATGCATCAAATGTTCAGGAACATAAATAAATAATCAGCCAAAAAAAAAATAAAAAATCAAATTGATGCACCAAATGTTCAGGAATATAGGCCTAAATAATCAGCAAAAAAAATTAAATAAAATAAATAAAATTGATGCACCAAATAAATACATACATAAAGATAAACAAATAGATAAACTAAAGATAAAAAAATAGATAATCAGATTTTAGGCCGAAATCATTTTTGGAGGGCTGAATCCACTGAGCAAAACAGTGGCGCTTAAATAGTGCTTCTTTTTGCCTGTCATTGTCCATTTCATGTGCACAAAGTAGATAAACTACAGCAGGCAAACATGTCAGCTCTGTGGAGACACTTCACCATGCATTAAAACAGCAATATGTAAAATTTGTTTGTCTGAAATCGGAGGTGGCTTGCTGCCCAAGAACTTTACTTGGACTGGTTTAATTTATCAACTGAGAAAACGACACCCTGAGTTCAAGTACCCAATTACCCAAATATAACCATCCAAACTTCATTTTTGTTTGAGTTTCGGTTTTCAGCTAAATGAAAACTCATTTCAGTTTTAGTACATTTTGGACTTTTGTGAACATTTTTGATTGAAGCAAACAAATCGTGGCATGAATGTTTTTAATCAACTCACTGAACAATCTGACATCACGCACGGAGATACTTACAATTAGTGTGTGTTTGTTTTCTCCGAACATTAACGCATCAATCGTAACACTCATAGTCACTAGTGATAATCCTAAACTTTAAATAAAAAGTGCATTAAAAATTACGATATTAATAATGTTGTTTATATCGGCAGCAAAATTCATTAATATTTCCCAGCCCTACTCTGAACACAGAAGGGGATAAATAAGCAAAGCTATCCCAGCAGAACAGAGTTGTGGTAGCTAGCAGTACCATAAATCACTATAAACGACACGAGGACTGAGCGTCAAATGCTGGCGTTCAAACATTATCAGCTGTACTAAACCACATCAAAGCAAAACTCCATTAAAACAAGACATGCACACTATAAAGCTTCACATTTACAATCAGATTAATCTAGCTTTTACAGGTGCGTTACCAGGCCAATGGGAAGGGGTTTATGTCAAGGCAGTTAATGTCTTTCAAGTCTGATTATGTCAGTTTCTTGGACATCATGAACAATTGTACCTGCATTTGAGAAACTGGCTGCGAATAATACTGTTAACCTTTCCTTGAAATTCATCTCAACTTGCATCATCAATTCTCCATAACACTTTTAATCGTTCATCAGAATGAGAAATGCTAAAAGCAAGCATCAAATCCCAAAACTAGTCCGAACATATTTGATGTTTCATACACATCATACACTTCATCAGAATGAGAAATGCTAAAAGCAAGCATCAAATCCCAAAACTAGTCCGAACATATTTGATGTTTCATACACATCTATCTGAAAGAGGAAAGTGGACAAATACGAATGCAAAATGGCAGAGCTACCTAGTGCAATAAAGATTGAAGAACTAACACTGAAAAGATACCTTTTTGCATCAAACCTGGCAAGGACGTAGGGTTGGACTCGGTTTCATATAAAAGAGTTGTCTGCACTGACCTGGTGAAGGAGGCTGGACCTTGGCCTGATTCTTTTTAGGGTCATTGTTGAAGATTTCGGGCGGCGGGTCTTCCCCTCGCTCGATCTTGCACTCGAAGGCGTACAGACACTGGATGTACTGTTTCTTCAGAGAGCTGGCAGCACTACTGGATGTGCCCACATTCAGGTTAGTGGCCATTTCCCTCCACTTCTTATTCTTGTTCACCTGATAACGCCAGAGAGACAGAATTAAATGACTGAACGGCTGAGAAGACCTTCAGTGGATTCAAACTCCGCACATACTCTACAAATCCAACAGAAACCAAAGCAAGCATTTAAATTGACCAGAAAGTCAACTAGAAACCATAAATGACCCTATAAAACTTTCGCAATGTACTTGGTCTTATTGTGCAAATCATAATATATCATCAAAATGCTTCCACTTCTGCAACTACGTTTTTACTGATGTAACCAAGGCTGTGTGGACCGCAAAAGCAACAGTAACTAATTATATTACAGCACACATTTCTAGTGATTATTTCTAGTTTTCATTTCTTATTCAAATGAAATAAATAATAAAGATATAATGTAAAATAAATATGTAATATAGTGCATGTATTTATCAAAATGCTCTTCTCATTGTTTTTATCTAGCTGACTATCAAGTATATAGACACTGAATGGCTTTCCTGAAGTAACTGTAATGTTACATGCTGTTTACAAACTGTTTTATTGACGTCTTTCTGCAGTTGAAACACTATTTGAGTGATTACTTGAGACATGATACATTTCTGTAAGTTGTACGGTTTCTTACAACACACCTTCTGATGTTCATTCATGTTTATTTAGTGCAGTAACTAGTAGTAAAGAGCAAAAAATCGATTCAGGTGCTGCTTAAACTGAGCTGGCTTTAGCGATCTGTCAAGCCACAAAAAAAAGGGTGAAAGCCACATGTATCGTTTGTATTTTGTGATAAAAATGACAAAATTTGATATCAGAGACTTTGTTTCATATTAAAAGTAAAAATGCACAAAGCTTACAGCGATTACTGGCTGTCAGGTAAGCTACAAATAATGTTTAGTTAAGTTCACACATTAGCTGAAAACAGCACAGACTAAAAGATTGATTTTCAGGTTTAAGAAGCTATCTCAGTATCGATTAAAAACGCTAAATCAATATTGCTAATGCAGCCTCAGCGTATCCACACAGCCGACATGTCTACCTGTTGTAGTTCATCCAGGTTGTGTTCACGAAAGAAACACTGACAGAGTCAAAATGTGCATTTGAAGCAGCAATAAATAAACATCACTGTTTCGGGCGATGATTTTGGCCCTCTACAATTGTTTAGGCCAAAACCGAAAATTGCTGTTTCAGACAAATATTTTTGGTTGCTGAAATTTGGGTGCATTACTACAACATTTCTAATCTACAATCCAGTCAAACTTTATAGAAATCAAGTTACCCCCTAAATTAGGGCTCTATGAAATTCATTTTAATTTTTACCAAATAAAGTTAAATTTTTTTGGCAAACTAAGTGCTACACAACAGCTGTACTGTTCAAATGAAAACATGGAAGACAAATTGCTTGTTCCTTGAAAAATAAAGTTTAAATAATTTTATTAGTAGTAGTATTACATTAACACGTATGTTCTACTGTACAAAAGTAATATATTTCTGTCACAGTTTCTTCAAGTTTAACTATTTTGAGGGGTTGCCCTGAAGAGTTTTGTTTGTGTATATGACATGACAGCTTTTCTAAAATTAAATGGTCAAATGCTCATGAAGTGACTTTTAGAGCAGCTCTGGAGACAATAGTTCATGTATTTATGTCCTCATTTAGTGAGACGGCACATGCTGAAAACACCACGAGTGTCATGCACGCTTCAGGATGTGTGTGGTAAACTAAACCGTGCATCTCTGCCATTCCTTCACACAGAGACACAGATTTCATTTTTATGACTGGATTCCGTGATTCCGTCTGTGTTTTCGGCATAGCGGGAATCATAGGGCCCCTACTAAATGATTTCCTACCAAAGTCCTATCCACTCGAAAACCATACTGTCATTATAACAAGATAAAGCCTTGTTCATGCCTCTTCATGTCCTATAATCGCCTCTAAACACACCTTTCTGTAATTTACAGCTACCATATCACACCTGAGTGAGGCCGCCAATCTCTTTGACAGACACGTAGAGGCGGAAGAGGTCGAGGGGCTTACGGCCCACAGCGGGGAGATTGGTCATGCCCATGGCTTTCTCCTCAGCAAACGCAAGGTAACGATCCACCCACATTTTGCGCTCCGGTTCTGGACCCAGCTCGTACAGACGGGTTATCTTCTCATTAGTGGTGGTCGAGGAACTGGACTTCTGTAAGGACAAAAAATAAATAAATGGTAAAATGCACCCAAGTATTAGATTGCAATTTTCATAAACCAGAAGCACTGGGGAAAAAAGCACACCAGTGGGTATATCAATGCACTGTATACAGTGGGTACGGAAAGTATTCAGACCCCCTTAAATTTTTCACTCTTTGTTATATTGCAGCCATTTGCTAAAATCATTTAAGTTAATTTTTTTTCCTCATTAATGTACACACAGCACCCTATATTGACAGAAAAACACAGAATTGTTGACATTTTTGCAGATTTATTAAAAAAGAAAAACTGAAATATCACATGGTCCTAAGTATTCAGACCCTTTGCTGTGACACTCATATATTTAACTCAGGTGCTGTCCATTTCTTCTGATCATCCTTGAGATGGTTCTACACCTTCATTTGAGTCCAGCTGTGTTTGATTATACTGATTGGACTTGATTAGGAAAGCCACACACCTGTCTATATGGCTGCAATATAACAAAGAGTGAAAAATTTAAGGGGGTCTGAATACTTTCCGTACCCACTGTATGTGCAGTGCACATTTCAGCCAAAAAGCATTTTCATTAATGATGTATAAAGCCAGGACTGCAGGGAGCAATTTCAAAAGCCCTGAATGTGCGTTACTCCTCCTGTACATTCACCGGCTATCACACCTCTCCATATAGCTGATCAGTCAAGCGCTGTTCTTCAGCTTAAGAGAGGCACACCGGCCGGCAACAGCACGGCCCAGACCCATATAAATATTAATAGCTCTTCACCTTTTTCGATTCGGTCTTAGGCGTCCCATCCACCTTGTTATTCAACTTCTGAGGTTGGTTGAGTTTGTCCATGCCAAACTCTGGACTGGGAGCCATGCCTACGAGACAAATGCAAACACGGTCAACTGTGGGCCAAAAAGCATTTTATTCAATTCAAAGATTAGCAGTTTGAACTATTAGCAAAACAAAACAAAAATTCAGGATGCAAAGCAAGCAAGTTCAGTGCTTACCGGCAGAGTTATTGGACATGTTTCCGGGCATGGGATACGGTCCCGCTTGATTTATCATACCCTGCATGCTGTTCATGGGCGGGGCATACGGAGACCCGGCTCCCATCATTCCTTGGTTCATGTTGGGATATCCAGGCGGTCTAGGAGAGAAATGATTGAATGATTCAATTTAGCTCAACAGAAAAAACTTAAATGGTATAAATGACTGAGATGATCTTCCACTGCCTTCACTCGTACTGTTCTGATCTGATTTTGAGCTCTCACACTAAGACTAGACTGAATCCAGCTGTGCTCCCCAGGACTGTAAAATCGCAAAGAATTTAAATATAAAATCATGTTCCACAATCATATTTCCACATTATTCCCCCAATAAACATTAGCTAATATTGTTTCTGAGCCTCAGGTTAATCAAAATCCATAATTCTGAGCCCAAACAAATTAATCAATACGTGTTCAAGTGTCCTGCCTTCAGCACAGTCAGGTTTATATGGAAGTGTTTAAAAGAAAAAGAATAGATCCCATATAAGACAGACCCATTTGAGCGATGGAGAGTGCATTTAATATTTATAATCAAGTGATCTCTCCACATCATTCATTCACGATATTCGCTTATCTATTTCCAACCTGTTTGCTTCCAGAAGACCCGAGAGAGATGCAGCTGTGTATAAAATATGTATATTAGGCCTCATCACGCCTGATTTCACCAGTAGATTACATTTAAATAAGTACATTTGGTTACACTTTATTTTAAGGGGTCCTTGTTACAGTGTAATTATACATTTAAGTACAGAGTAATATTAATTAACTACATGTACTTACTATATGGTTAGGATTATGATGAGGGTTTGTTTATGGTTACTTGCATGCAATTATGCATAATTCATTGTTATTATAATAGTAAGTACATGTAACATGTGTAACAAGGACACCTTAAAATAAAGTGTTACCGTACATTATTTTACTGGATATTAACTTCTTCGATATTTTGAGTAAATGCAATCACTAACAATAAATAAAAATGAAAAATGTAATAAATAAAAAATAAAATGCAAAAACAATGTTACAATAACAGACAGTGATCAAAATATTAAATTGTTAACTGTTGTTAAATTGTAAACATTAAATAACAGTTTAAAGTATTTAAAATATACACTATATAATCGGTGTCACTGATACATTCTCTGCTGAAAATACAGAAATGTGTTAGAAACAATAACTCGCACACTGACACTGAATCAGTACAGCAGAATTATGAGCATTTCTATGCTGGTGACGTCATTGCCTTGTGAATGTGAGACCAGGACCACGATTTCAGTAATCATGCACAAAACTATATGCAGGTAATCTTACGGTCACCAACACCAAGAACAAAAGTATTTAATGGTTATTGGTATGTTTTCACTGCAAAATACCACAAAAATGCTAATATCAGAATTCTAAAAAAAAAAAGCTGTTGCAAATTGAGTCATTTTAGGCTGCAATAAAAAAAATAAATAAATAAAAAAATGTCCTATTTGTAAAGTCAGCCGAATTACAGCTGCAAGCTTCATTTACACCGTGTTTAGACGATCGGAGCTCCAGTGACTCGACTTCCCGTGACCAAGCGAAGCATTTTTAAATCAGCGTCGGCAATCAGTGGATTGGACGCTTGTTCTTACGCTGAAGTCCAAGAGGGCCTGGATTTTGCACAGGCTCTTTTCAGGGAGTTCAGACGCACGTGTGCACTGTACCTGTGTATGGAGTTGGATAGGCCATGGTGCATCCCTGCCGCTGCTGCGGGATCCTGAGGCTTTCTGTTCATCCCAGGCGGCGGACACATTCCTGACGCCACCTGAGGAGGCATGCCGCCCATGTTAGGGCCCATGTTGGGGCCCATGCCAGGGCCGTACGGCCTTGTACCCATCTGCCCCGGACCCATGCGTCCTGGAGGCATCCCTCCATACGACCCTCCTCCACCCTGACCAGCCATAGGGTTCATGGAGCCGCCTATGCCAGGACCACCCGGATAGTTAGCATTAGGCATGCCTCCATAACCTGGTGGCCTTGGGTAACCTGTGCAGCAGATTTTGAGGTTAAAGCACACTAGGCTTGTGTTATATATTTCTGATGTTCTTTAAAAGCATCAGTGCTCAGTCGAATCGACGCTTCTCACCTTGTGGTCCGTACTGGCCACCCTGTGGCCCATAGTTGCCCATGGAGTTGTTTTGTGGAAAGGAACCCATCCCACCATGCATTTGGCCTCCAGATGACTGCCGTGGGGATAAAGTTGACCCGGGTTGAGGAGAGCTGTATGGCATCTGAGGGTTCCTCATGTATACTGTAGAAAGCAGAGAGAGTTACGCTACAGTAAACCACCCTTGAGGATACTTTCATGCTAGGAGTTTTGGTGTGGATCCAGGTGAGTTGGGTTGCCGTGAAAGCAGCTTTCCTGAACTCAGGTGCACAGCATAGAGTCGCACCAAAGTAAACGTGAAAATGGCGGTCTGGGACACAGCTTGTGCAGACACCAATAGAGTTCACAACTCAAAAAGCAATACGGTCAAATATGACAAATATATATTACAGATTCCATAGAAATTGACTTTCAGAGACCTGCTTTCTTGCCATTTTTATTCCAGAGTATATCAGGAAGTGTACAGTCAAGTTATGGCTGCACGATTAAGGAAAAAAAATTGCTATTGTTCTCTGGGGGGGAATTCTAGTTTGACGTGCTTGTTTGTAGGGCAGCACAATTTGGCCAAAATTGTATGATTCTAAATCAATACAGATATAAAATTATATATATATAT